CATTTGCATGGTAGAAGTACAGCTAAAGTATCCCCACAGGGGCCCTGTCCACATTCCTTAGAAATCAAGATTAATGGTTGTTATTTGGACGTGGAGGGAGGAGGAAGAGAGAGAGATGCCTATTAACCCTAATTAACTAAGCTCATTAAGGTGCCACCCTTAAAATGCCCTGATGCTGCTAGCCTATGAGATTGTATCTGAGAGCCAGAGAGATGCAGCCTTGTAAACAGGACAAAGCTCACAGTCCCCATCCATTTGCCTCTAACACAGAGAAGGTGTGAGGCTGTGGCATAAAGCCAGTCCCCGAAGAAAAAGAGTCTGAAGCCGCATGGAGACAAGTTCCCGGTCCTCTGCTACGGTTCATGTATTCATCATAAGACCAGGCTTTTATTTCCTTAGGGAGCCTACCATTTCTTAATCACAAAAGCAATAAGGATTTCCAATATGTTCCTCAGCCATGCCTAATCAGGTGTTCAGCTGCCAGTCATCAAAACCACGTCTGGAAGATCACTTAAAAGCTGTCATACAGCTTTGCACGTTGCACTGACCCAAGAGGTGACACTGACATTGAAGGTTGTCCCCAGGGGTGGCCAGCGTGTACTGGTTGATTTGATCACAACAGTTTGGTTAATATTGCCCTGTATTCTGGAGGGACTCTGGTCTCTTCCTTTTCACTTTGATCGATAGGCCCATGTGGTACGCTCTCTGGGTTGAGGTGGAAAAAAAAATCATTTTGAGTATGGAAGGAAAATGACCTTATGGGTTTCCTGAGGTTAAAAATCACTTGACAAAACCCAAATATTTGCCACTAAGCATGTGTTGTAGCAGGCAGGGCTGTGAGAAATTTAGCAGATTTTTGAAGCTTAAAGCAAGGCAAGGAAATTAGCCCCTGCCTGGTACTGAGTAGACGCTGGAATGTGTGTCAAATGAGTGAAATAATAGACTGCAGTAATGAAGAGTGCATCCCGGGTTTATAACATGATCAGGTCAGATGCTCCTAAAAGTCGCAGTGTGGAACAGAGAGGTATTCTCCCTGCCACAATCCCAATTTCTGAGAAATAGGAGGTTTTGATAGAGACCAACGAAATCCTCCTGAAACCAGAACTGACTGATTCCTGAGGGTGGCTCGTTTTATTGGAAGCGTATGTGAGACAGACATTCAGTGGGTATCGGAAATCGATGCTTTGGCCTCTTATTGCTGCTCTCAAATTTCTAATCCTCGTTTTTGCTCACTGATGACATCCACAGCCAACTAATCCTCACGTGGACTCCTCCTGCTCTGTATGGACACTGCACTAGACACTTGGACGAGAGGTTGCAATCTTGCCAGGAGTAAGACATTCCTCTCCTTCCAGTTCCATTTATTATATAAAACAGAGGCAAGTCACATGCCTCTTTTGGGCAGAGGTGATTTCTGACAATATTACCTATAAAGTTATTTAGTATAATTTCCAAAAGCAGACTTTAAATCGAACCTTGAAGCCCTGCCACCGTTCTTTGCTTTTTTTTTTTTTTTTTAAATCATAGGGTACCTACCAGAGGACCATGGCCTAATTCACTGCCATTAATCAGCTGTAGTGGTAGCATAGGAAAGGGATATGGACGTTCATTTGACCCTAAGCATAGTTGGAAAACATGTACTAGATACTTTCTGTGTCCTACCTCACACACACGCTACTCCATTGATAGGTTGTGGCCATTGCAATAGCAACCAGCTGGCCCCCCCACCCCCCACCCCCGCACTGCTTGGCAGGTCCTCCTCTCCACTCATCACACACCTCTGTCTTTCTGTCCTAAGGTTTGCTGATGTCCTGGGTTGGGCCTCTGTGGGAACATTTATAGATTCTGGGGCTTGTGCCTCTTGGAAGTCTGAATGAACCTTTCCTGGAGCAACCCCTGACCAAAGGCAGTGGGGGAGGGGGGAAGGTAGGAGTTTGTAGATAAACATTCATTTTGTCCCAATTCTAATCACTTAGTCCCAAGATAGATTCCATTGGCATTTAGATTGTATTTGGCTTGGTTCACTCAACAAGCAAGTCTAAATTCTATCAGGCTCTAAGAATGGCTATGCCCTAGTCCTTGTAGGTGTCTGTGTATAGCAGTACTCCATGTTTGTGGGAAAAATGTCATCTAAGAGAAGAATAAGAAGGGGTTAAGGATGTAACTCCTTCGTGAGTGCTTATTCAATATGCCTAGGACCTGGCCTCAATCTCTAGCATTAAGGGAAACAGTGACGAGAAAAGAAGAAAAAGAGGTGGGTATTGGTGGCTCCCACCTGTAATCCTAGCTTCTCAGGAGGCTCTCATCTGAAGATCAAGGTTCAAAGCAAGTCCAAGCAAGAAAGTCTCTGAGGCTTTTATCTCCAGTTAACAACCAGAAAACTGGAAGTGGTGCTGTGGCTTTACGTGATAAAGTTCTAGCCTTGAGCCAAAGAGCTCAAAGATAGCGCCCAGGCCCCGAGTTCAAGCCCTACAACCAAGAAAGTAAAAAAGTAAAAATAAATAAATATTTAAAAGTAACTAGAAGGACACAAAAGGGAAAGTATTTAAATAAGTGTAGATAAGAGGAACTGACTGTATGAGCAAAACTGAAGTAGTATAAATTGTGATAATGCACTTGAGGTGTGGCCAGATGTCTTGTTGGTCTGGCGTTTAATTATAGTAGCTTATGGAGGTGTATTAAAGTGCCTTGAACATGGTTCAATATTCTACACTAGTAAATCTTGGTAGTTTGGTGAATTCATGTGTATGGATCCTTGCCACCACTGAGCTATACAGATTTTTTCCCCCATTACTGCAACCTCTTCAAAGACAGGGACCTACAGATGGTACAAGGGGCTGGCATGAAGTACTTAGCAAATACTGCATCAAGCAAAGCATTGGTTGGATAATAGATGGATGTATGGATAGACAGAAGATGAATAGATGCAAAATGGAAGATTAGTCCTGCATATATAGTAAGTGGGAAGAAGGGGAGATGCTGACCCATAACTCTTAGTGACTGAAAATACCAAACCTCCCAGCCGATTGCATTGTACATCATACCAACCGCCACTAAATTAGCTCCTCTTGATCTCTAGGAGGCTCTCTATATTCCGTTAAGCCCTAGAGTGGAACATGGCATGTGTACACCCCTGTTGCCCACTGAGTTGTAAATGGCCAGGGCAATGCTTCCCTTGTGAGAAACACAAATACATACATACAAAGACCCCTCCAGGGGAGAATACGTGATGGGTGCATTCAGCAACTCCAACAAAATAAATAAGGGAGCAAGTATTACTACACTAAAGCTGGGGGGGAAAAAAGCTTTGTTTTCACAGTGTCTCTGTGACCTCTTATTATTCCATTAGTTTTTGGAATTGTATATAAAAATCACCAAGCACCATGCTGACAAACACCAATAGTGAAACTATTGCCACTGTCAATCCAAACAGCTTTCTCCCCTGAGTAAAATTATTATTTGGCATACAAGCAGAATTGTGGTTCCCTGAGCTAGCAGAGCATAAATGAGGGTTGTGATTTATAAGGCGACTCCAGTGAGTTTGCAAAAACACAACTATTATGGAGGCTGATGAACACAACTGCAGGTCTATATTAGCTTTCCAAGCAGGTAAGCACCTCCTCACCTCACAATGACTTTAGGACGTGGAAGGCTGTGGTGGATCTGAGGACAGGCGTTAACCTGAAACAATGCTGGTTTGCCAGAAATAAACCCTTCACGTCAGATCACACCCCTGTCAGTAGTTGTTTGAGCGGGAAGACGGTAATTCTGCCTCTTCAGATGTTCCTTTCAGTACTTCCATTGGATCAAGTTTTTAGGGGGCTAGGTCATTTGGGGTCTTAATTCTCCTCTGGAGAGAGTGTAGAAAGGTGGTTCCTGGTCTAAAATTACCACTCTCTGAACTTTTAAACCCTCAACTCTTTTTGATGATATGACTTCTCTTTCTTAATCCTGAACCCGATTTCTTTTATTAAAAAAAAAATTTCATTTCTTCTTTGATGTGAGTAGAGTTAAGTTCAAAAGGAACAGAGATGGATACAGAGCTGAGCGGGGCTTTATTTTCAGAGAAGGAAGTTAAAGAGTCCACATAATGATGTGGTGTGACTGCAGCCTAATGAGATGTCTGCGGAGTGGGTCTCGGACCCTGAGGCCCTCTCTGAGAAACTCAGATCGTGACAAACCCCAGGTTCTTCCCTGACATCGGACCAATTAGCCCATCAAAATGGGCACCTCTACAAGTGTGGGGTCACATTGGGTTCTCACAGGCATGGCGGCCCTCATGAACACGGTGGCTCTGGGCTCCCTATCTGTGTCATAATAGGCAATGGTGGGGGCAGAACTTGGGGCCCACAGGAAGCTAGCTGCCCTGCTTTTACTCTGTGGTCTTAGGTGAGGACTTCTTTTTAATGAAGGCAAGTCTGTCCATCTTACCATCAGGAAAATGCCTGAGTCAGTTAGACTCTTCTTGAAAAGGGTGTGGGGTCTCATCCTCACAGGAGCCAGGCTTGGGGTAGCTGTGGGTCATGGTATTGACATGGCATTACACAGCCTGACCTCGATCAACCCCAGGGCCTTGGCTGTCTCTTGTCAGAAGAGACAGGAAGACCTGTTCTGTGCCCTTCCTAGTTTTTCTCTCACCTGATTCTAGTCCATGCAAACACTGCACCTCTGCATACATGCACACAGCACGGGATTGACTAATCATAGAGTATCGGGACAGGCAGGGCACACAGCTTCAGAGATAAGACTTGTGAATGTCATCTTGGAGTGAACTGAGTGCGAAAATCCTGAGATGGCAGCCCAGACACAGGAGCCAGGAGGAACTGAGTGTACCACAGGAACAGAAGCGGGGAGCACTTTTTCCTGAAATTCACCCCAAGGGAGAAAACACACACACACACACCAAGCTTCTGAAATATGCTGGCTGTCAGCCTTGGGTATTTAAAAATGTAAGCTTCCTTTGGGCCTCAAGTCTCATTTCTCTTCTCCCTTGATTTCAGCTCCCATTTTCTCCAGCAATCATTCAAGCCGAAGTGGAACAGCTGCTGGGCCCATGCCACCCCCACATCCTGTCAGTCACCCTTCTCCGGGACATAATGTACAGGGGAGCCCTCACAACCCCTCCTCTTCCCAGTTACCTCCACTCACAGCTGTGGACTCGGGCGCGGAGAGGTAAGGCCATCTGTCTCTCTCTCGTAATAGGTGTTGTCGCCAAACCTCCCTCCACGGAGAAGAGCTCTGACAGTTGCTGAATTTTATTAATAATCTGTTGGTGGGTTGAGGTACCCAGAGGTGACATTTTAAAAGTAAGATACACAAAGCACGTGGACCAACTCTCTCATTATCTGTGTGTGTGTGTGTGTGTGTGTGTGTGTGTGTATCCACACAAATGAAATGGTATTGACAGGAGCCAACTGAAAGTGTCAGATGCTGGAAAAGTGAATATGAATATTCTGTCTCGCTCACTTTTTGCCCAGTTTGCTTCTAGGACTCAATTTTCAAGTGATACACGCACAAGTTGAGATGCTTTCCAAAGGGAAGTACACAATACCCGAGTCTCAGAGAAGCTGTATGAACTTGGGTCAGACAGTTTCCAGCTACTGTGATGAAATTCCTGAGACAGTCAATCTAGGAGGGAAAACAATGTTTACTTTGGCTCAGGGTTTGTAAGGTTTTAGTTTACAGTCACTGGGCCCTGTTGCTGTGGGGTTGTTCTGGTATATGATGTTATAGAGGAAGGGTATGGCAAAGAAGGCCTATTTACCTAATGGCAGATAGGAAAGAGAGAGAGAGAAGAAGAAGGGACTAGGATTCCAATATCTGACAAGAGGCTGGGAACTAAGCCTTTAATCCATGGGTCTTTGGGATACATTCAAGACTCACCTTTGTAACAGCTTTGGAGCAAAGCATCAAAAGGTACACAATTTGATATGAATGGCCAGAAGAGGGTTATTCACTGAGAACTTTTTTTTCTTTTTCTTCTTTTTTGGTTGGTCGTGATGCCTGAACTCAGCCTGGGCACTGTCCCTGAGCTCTTCAGCTCAAGGTTAGTGCTCTACCACTGGAGCCACAGCTTTTCTGCTTATGTGGTGCTGAGGAATCGAACCCAGGGCCTCATGCATGCAAGGCAAGCGCTCTACCACTGAGCCACCTTCCCAGCCCTCACTGAGAACTTTATATTGGTTATTCCCTTATAAAAGGGTTCCTAGGGGAACATTTTTTAACAATTATTTTATGATAATATTTTTACTTCTGAGTTCACCACTGGTTCCAGGGGTCCTCGGGGGCCCTTCTTGTACTTCTCCTAATATCATGCATACTTACATGGACCACAAACAAAAACAGGAATCTGCTTAGTGAGCAGAAGAGTTATTGAGGGAAGACTCAGGCTTCTCCAGGAATGGCATCCCAGACAATAGGAAGAATTTTTTTCTTTGTATGTTCTTCCCCCATGGTACAACCCCTGTTGTCACTGTATTTGAGTCTGGTGTCCTGAATCTTGTATATACATTTTTCTAATTCGGGGAGGGGAAGGGATGGTAGGGGAAAAACAAGGAGGGAGTAACAATATTCAATAGGAAATGGACTCATTACCTTGCTCATGTAACTGTAACCCCTCTGTATAGGATCTTTAAAATAAAAAATATATATTTAAAATAAAAAAGGAAAATCAAAGCAAGATAGAAAGGAGAGATGCAAGCAGAGGACACACATTAAATAGAGGAGCCTCAGTCACTCAGGTTGGTGGCATCCAGGGTACCTACTGATAATAAGATAGCAAATAAGTTGTTTGTCTCTTGTAGAATTACTTTCTTTGTGTGTGTGTGTCCTAGGCTTGAACTGAGGGCTTGGGCTACCACTTGGCTCTTAACTCCACTTGTGACTTTTGGGGTATTGAACTGGAGATAAGAGTCTCATGGACTTTCTTTCCTGGACAGGCTTTGAACCACAGTCCTTAGATCTCAGCCTCCTGAATAGCTAGAATTATAGGCCATCAGCACTCATCTGAGATCACATCTTTTATTCTAAAGAACATTTCCTCAGTGTGATACAATCACACTGACATTATAGAGACTCAAGGGACAAGATGGTAGACATCGGAGGAAGAGATAGGAAAACAAGGGTAACGCTGCTGGTTACCAGAGTCCTTATCCATAGCAAGATAATTTGAAGTAAGGCAAAACAGCAGAATTCATTCACAAGCTGTATTTTGGAAACAAAATTGCTATTATACGTAAGAAATGAAGAAGAGGGGCCAAAATTCATTCCTGAGTTTCACCCTTAAGACACCAAGATGGAAATTTATGCCATGCTTAGAAAGAGAAAATACAAGGATTCAGTAGTGTGGAAAGGAGACATAAAAAGGTGGTAAAGAGAAGAGGGAGGAGAAATGACATGAAGAACTTGAGTTTTAGGTTAATATGAAAGATCCACACAGGTATGTCTGATGTGCAATTAGAAATATGTGTCGGATCAGACTTACTTTAACAGCGCTGTGTACATGGCAAAGTGTAGACAAGTCATTAGCTTCTCCTCACATTATCTGTCAGCACAGAAGTGCAAATGTAACTATCTATTAAGTTCACAGACACTGGAGACATGAAATCTATCCTTCCAGCCATCTGATGCATTTTTGTAAGTTGAGGTGAGTTTATGCCTTTTAGCATTTCAAATAATTTCCCATTAGGTTTAAAGTGAACTTAGGCATGGGTTGCTTTAAAAAAAAAAAATCATCTCATTTCCATCTACCTGACTGGAAATCATGACGGCCATAAGGTAGTGGAGTTCAGACAGGATCAGAACTCCAGCCCCTTCTTCACATTACTTATCAGTAGTTATAACAACCTTCACAAGAATTTGAAAAGAAAGCAATCATTGTGTTTGCTTCCTTCTTGTACACATCCTTTGAAAGAATGTAGGAAAAAGAGCTACAGCAGCCATTATCAGAGTAAAAAAATAAGAACCATGACAAACCAATTCATCTGATGTTTTCATCCAAGCATCTGCTGTCAAGTTGCTAATTATTTGGCTGTGGACACTTTAGCTATTCCTGTTGCTTAGCATATATGCATTTGTTTCTTTTTGACATTTTATTCATGTCATATTTTTATAATTTTCATATTTTTCCTAACTGACTTTATATATGTATATGTCTTTATATCTATGTAGATATACATTTAACTCCTTAAAATTTCAAGAATAGGTTGAACAATACTCCGTATACATACACTGCATTCATAGTCATTGTTAATATTTTGCTCCTCTCTCTCTCCCATCTCTTTTTCTCTGCAGCACAGATGATGTATTGTATGCTTGTTATTTCAAAATCATTTAAAAAGTAGTTGAATATATCATGACCTTTACCCCTCATTGCTTCAGAAGAGATTTTAGAAGGCTATTTTCCTATATAGACTCAGTGTAAGAATCATACTTGGGATATTTAATATTGCTATAGTAAGATTATCTTAAAGTTGACCAATACTCAAAACTCCCATCTTGTAAATAATGCCTTTTATAGGTGGAATGTTATTTTCTTCTTTCCTTTTTACGATTTAGGACTCTAATAAGGATCCCACAATGCATTAACTCTTCAATTTTTTTTAGTTTCCTGAAACTAATGAAGTTCTTCGGCTTTTATCCCCAGCTTCATCATCCTTGTTATTGATGTCTGTCAGGACATTAACTTTTTTTGAAGACCTCCAGACGTATATTTTGCACAGTATTTCATGGTTTGGATTTTTTTTGTTCTCTCCCAAACAGAACATTTCTGGGGTAGGAATTCTACACAGGTGCTGTGGTACCTCTTAGCATTTTCTTGAGACTTAGCTTGTACCTAATGGGGAGTTAGAATTCAATGAATCAAAGCAGATATACATGGCAGGAAGCAGACTCAGATGGGTACTTACAAAAAAGACAAGGCACTGTCTGAGGGATTCTGGGTCTGAAGTTGAGGAGGTTGTTAGGTCAATAATTGTAGATGAAGGGGAGGTAACAGCACTTCATGTAGTGAGGGGAGGATGAAGTAGACACTTGTACTTTCAGGTTTTTACATCATGCATCACTACCGTGTACTTCCCACAGGAAGTGTGCTCTAATGATGTGCAAGCACAGCTGGACTGGACAAGTGTGAACACGTAGGTTATCTCTTCCGATCAGGGCTGGAGAGGAAAGTGACGTGAAACAGTCCTGCTTTATTCACTGTGTTTGCTTTAGTGACTGGGATTAAAAACATGCAGGGGAAATGTGCTTGCTTTCCACTTTGGGTTTATACATCTTTGCCTCTGTTTGCCTAGGAAATCCCCCAGTAAAAACTCCAGCAGTTTACTTAACGGAAATAGGTTTATCACCCCCTATGATTTTTATTATTACTTTTTTAAAAAAAAAAAAAATGGGACCCTGGCATCTTTTCCTGCTTTGAAGAAGTTGATTCATCATTTACTTAGCTTTAGCGTATTAATAAAATGGGCTGAGTCACTGTCAGAAGTCAGGAAAAGTCTGCCAACACCTACTCCTGGAGCATCAGGTTCTTTGACCTTGACTGTCGTAAAATTGAAAAATAAATGCAAGTTCTTTCAATGTGATCAGGACCACTTTTATTTTGAAATATCCAAGTAACAGATGAATTTAGCATGACCATGCCACATCAACTCATGCTGATTTAAACAGAGCAAGGGAAGTGGTGTATTACTCATGTCATGTCAAACCACCCAGTAGTTATGTTTAGGAGTAGAAATTGGTGTCTTAGGAAATGTTCATTTCCTGGAACATTGGATATCTGTTAGTCCAGGAAAAACCAAACTGTTGATGGAGTTCCTTTTTGAAATAAAGAATCTTTGCAGTGGCATTAATAAGTCACCTGAGTTTGTGACAGGCATCTTATTATATAAGAGAATATCCGCTGTCATCCTTTCCTGAAGGCCACAAACATTGTATGATCTAAAAGGCAGGTGACATAGAACAAGAGGGATTGTGGAGGGACTTACCAAGCATTCTGTAGGAGTACCACTTCTGAGCCACAGAAGATGTGGAAGGAAAGAAGGGATGTGGTGGAAATGTATAGTCTGGTACAGGATTCACTAGCAAAAAGTATAAGAGACAATTGGTTTGGGAAACATAGTAGGAATTCCAGTTTCTTAAATCTTATGTATTTGGAAGCCTTACTATTTTGTCAC